CATGTTAGAACAATCTGAGTGTTTGACTTTAAGAACTTTCATCATTTGCTTATAACTTTAATTTTCAGAAATGCATATGGAAGGACAAGACTCAACAGAAAAACTAAGATGGGAAGATTTTGTGAAAGGTTCCTGTAAAGCAGCGGCTACAACAAAATATGTATGACAGCTTTTCATAGATCTTTGCTTTTCATAGCATAAAGGGTAGACAAATATAATGTAAACTATGTGATCAGATAAAAAATTAAAATTTAAATACATAATTATACAAGAATATATAGTTCTTTATATTTCTACTTGAACCTAACCCCCCCAATAGTAGGAAAACAGCATTATGAATTGTTGGCTCTCCATCCCTCAACCCCTCCTTTTCCTTCCCCCTCTTCCCCCAGGTATTCAAGATCCATAATGCTAAAATAGATTTCTGGTGGGTAACTTCTCAGAATAATTTTTTTGTTTCTTCTCCACCCCCCCACCTCCTTCCTCAGTATCAAACAGTCCTGCATTCCCAACCACACTAATCACTGGGTTCAGGTTGTATGCCCTGTGGAAAAACCTCTAAACATACGGGTTGAAAAGTTAGTACTGTTAGAAACCGGGCATGTGTAGCAGCAGCTGTCTTACTTGGCATAGCTTTTGTCAAGTTTTCTGGCACAAATTCCACAACCACAGACTTCTAATGGCTACTGGTATCACTCAACATGCTTGGACTAATTCTGAACATAGAAGTTTCACATTTCAAGAAGTTTCACATTTTAACAACTATTTTAAGTCAGCAAGGCTGATCTAATATACAAGAACATGCTCACTGCTAGCCCAGTGGCATGGCAGCTTGCCTACTTTGCTGCCAGCTAAGATACCAGGAAAAGAACAGTGGAAACTAAATCCACTTTAAGGACAGAATACATTCAGTTGGCCAGGGACACTGCCAACTACAGTATCATGTTTAATTCTTAAACACTAATGACTGATTCATGGCACAACCCCAAAGGGAAATACTCACCTGCTACTTCAGCAGTACATAAAGCACGTTTTCAGGGGATGTTTTTTAACACTACCTGCAGGAATTCTGATTTGTAACTCTATGCTATTAATAAACCATAGAATTTGAAACTGAAAATTTACCCCCCTTCCCAAATCTCTTTTGAAATAGAGGGGGGACAGAAACCTTATTTGGGATAAAATATGTAACAAGACAACAAATACAAAGAGAAAAAAGTAATACTATGCTTCAGCTGAGCCAATGACAGGTACTGAACTACTGGAAGAATAAAGCTGTAAACATTTCAGCCTCAGTGACACTAGAGATTTTGCCAATATTCAGTCATATTGATGCTGACACTGTGCCTGTGTAAATTGTGTGTCCCATCTCCAGCCAGAAAACAGAAATAGTTTTGAAAATATTCTAAAAATCCCTTTCCTTTGCTTTATTCCTCAATACATTTTCAATACCCTCATTGCCTGAACCACTGGCTGTCATTTCCACACAATCTGTTTCCTAAAAGACACAGGAAGAAAAACTATTCTCCAGTGGATCACCAGAGATGCTACAAATGATACCTTGCACTGAGCTTAACACCTGAACACGTAACACTTGGTTGGCTATTATTACAGTACAGAAATCTGCAGTTCTTGATGAGCAATGCATAGAACAGCAGGAAAAAAAATCCAACCACGCATTTTAAGTATGAAATAAATTGAGGTAATTATCAATTTCATTCTAAACATCTAGATTCTGCAAGAATAGTGCAGATACTAGACAAGGGATGCCTGTGTAGTCTTAAACCTTAAATACCTTTAGACCAATAATGAAGAGATTGAAAGTAGATGTGCCCCATGGAATTATTCCTTTGCTAACTCTGCACAAATTTCAACCTGTGTGGCTTTCTTATCTGCTTATAAAATGATTTCAGGTCACAAAACATATGAAGAAAGCAGGTCAGAAAAAAATAAGTTACATGCACACATTTGAGTATCAATATTAATTGCTAAAGATTCTTATTAAGAAAGAAAAATCTTAAGTATCTGGTACAAATACATGAAAATCCTGGACCTGCTGCAATTGAGGCACTTTTGCCATTGCCCCCCATGAAACAACAATTTCAACTATGGCATCTAAACCCCTTATATTCCACCATCTAAAATTTGCCTTTTAAAACTGGAATTAAAGCTTTCAAGTTCTAATCCTAACAGCTTTTGAACTGCACATCTGGAAAAAATTGTTCAGCTATGAAGATATTGTGACACTGGAACAGGTTATTTAGGCTGCAGAACCCCCATCCCTGGAGGTTCCCAAGACTTGGCTGACTGATCTAGTGCTGGCAGAAGTCATCGTGAACAGGAAGCTCAGGGAGCTCTAAATGACCCCTGAAGGTCCCTTACAACCAAAATGTCTGTGATTCCATGAAAGCAGGTTTGTGACAGAACCCCTGTTTCAGTCCCTGAAACATTAGGAGAAATGACAATGCATATAGACTGAGCTGTTGAAGAGAAATCACTAAACAGGAAATCTATGAACCAGTGTTTCTCATCTCTATCAGGTACACCCTCTTCTGAACCAGTAAGCAACCTGTATAACTTCTAGCTTTGTGTCTGAGGCAAGTGCTGAACTCCAGGGAAATCAGATGTCAAAACATTTCTCTCACTCTCGCAGATAAAAAACCTGGGAATTTTCTACTGCGAGAAAAGCGTTTGCAGCACCTTATGTAAATAATTTAAGATGGAATGTAGCTGGGAACATTTTTCAGCACTGCAAAGTAAAAACACCACATTAAGAAATATTCTAATAAAAACATATTGTTTACATAAGTTTGCTTTATTACTTGGCTTTCTTTCACTTGGCACTCTCACTTTTATTAGAGAACATGAAGCACCTTACAAAATAAACCTGAAAACCAGGACAGAGACATAATGCTGTCTTGATAAGTCACTTTTATGTGGAAAAAAAGACAACATTATTCATTGGTTTGTTGAACAGAGTTTTAAAGATGGCAAATTCACTGTCACTTTATAATTGCACGATTCTTCTCAGTGCAGAACATCAAGCAAACATTGTATGTTAGAACTGAGCTAAACCTAAGGATAAAAAGCTCTAACCAGACTGGATACTCAGCTCTGGAGACTAAGAAATAAGTCCAACATTTCTTCCAAATGAATCCTGTGCTACTGACTAAGTTTTTTCCTTTGTGAACAGGACACATTAAGGGCTGTGGCGATTGCATGCATGTTCTAGTAAGACAAAACACAGCAGCATTTTCCAGCCCTGCATGAAAAGACATGAAAGAACAATTTAGTGAGGATTTAGTGTACCAATTTTATCAAGCAGATGGTTAAAACAAAAGCGGCAACAAAGGTGAAATGTTTCCATTGCACCCTGTATAGGAGATTAATGTTCTGTCTGTGACCAGGACAGAGTTACATAGTCAGATATTGGTCTAAGTAAAATGAACTGATAGAAAAGCATTGCACAGAGCCTTGCTACCTGAAATGGAAATTACCTCATTTCAGAGTGCATCTGCTCGTGTCATGATAATAATCTGTTAAGGTTAAGGCACTGTTGCTGCCTCCCAAAATGAACTCATTATTCAGGGAAATTCACTCAGGTGTGAAACACCCAAGCTATCAGCTCAGAAGCATTTTGTCTGTAAAGACAGCACACTCAACAATAAATGGACATTTGTTAGCATTGAGAAAGACTCAATACCACAAAAGGTACAGAAGAATACTTAATTAGGAAAATGAAGAAAGTTTCTAGCAGATGCAGAAAGAAAATCTACATGAGGTTTTTATTACACAAAACCACAGATGTAAATTTTTTTCTTACGCCAACCCTGTATTTTCATGCAGGTTTCAAAGCAAATCTTGGTAGAGCTGGAGCATGAGAAAGAAGGCGCTCCAGCTGACTCTGAAGAACGGGTGACCTGAATTCCTACTGCAATCTGCAGCCTCTAGACATCCCTGCAACACTGTTGCTACTTGTACTGCACCTTTTGAAAGTGGAAGGCAAGCCCGCACACTGTATCTTTAATCTTGATGCAGCTTGTTGCTTAAATCAGACCTGAAACATTATGTGGAAGTACTGCAAAAGAATTCTCATTAAATTTAGTTTTTTGCTAAAAGGATGACTGATTTCCTGCATAAGCTCTAGTTACTCTGATAATTTTACAAAGCAGTATAACTCTGGCTTGCCTGGATTTGAGACTAACAACAAAGAACTCTGTCCTCAGAAGGTTTATCTTCCCATCCTAAGAGAATAGCTGATTTTTCTCGAGTAATTCAGCAGTTGTAACTAAATATTGCATTAGAGAAAAAGCCCAATAGATCACAGAAATATACATTTGTTATGTTAACAAACAGCTGCTATTTACCCCTTTGACTAATACACTTCATTTAGTATTCCATAAACCAGTTATTTGAAAGTACTGGTCTATGAAGTAAGGCTATGGTACTGATATTTTTAAACACTGCTAAGAAATGAGACAACTTGCAGAAAAAGTAACTGCAGTTCAATCCAGGTTCTGGAGCTTATAACTGAGAAATGGAGCAAGAAGTTTCAGTCCTAGCTCCCAGGAGCCCACATTCCCAAAATTTTTCCTGACCTTGCACTTACAAGCTCTCTTCTTCAAAGTTCAGTCTTACATCACAAGAAAAGAGAAAATGATTGCATTCTCCTTATACGCTCCATTAGCTGCACATGGATCCTTAGCAAAATTAACCATGATCCTAAGTACATCACCAACAGACCAGGTCCATCTCACCAGCATTACATTTACTGCAGTTCTTACAAATACCTGGAGCAGGATGCAAAAAGCTGAAGAAACAAGCAGATATATCAATGCTGTATATATATTTATAAATTAATACAGACTATATACTATATATAAATATGTATTTATTAAGCGTTATATTCTACTGTTACACTTCTATTCCTCTGTCTCTTTTGCTCTATTAAGTTAGTTTTATAGAAGCTTTTGCAGAATTAATGTAACACAAATACTTACATTTGATGCTGGACAACCTACTTTTGGGCACTGAACAGTCTACAGCTGCTGAAAATAAGAAAAAAACAAATGGGAATGAGTCAAAATTTACTTAGTATTTGTGATGGCTAGAAAAAAGTAGCCATTAATCAACATAGAACAAAGACTAATTTAGTTAGAACGCAGCAAATTTTCTCTATTTTAAAACATACTATTTACTGTGTATTTAAAGTATTAGGTTGATATTAATACAGTCAGAGAAATTCTGAGATAAGGGTGCTAAAGTAAACAAATATTTGACAGAAGAATCATCACTTAAATGAAGATTCCTTACAAATTTTGTGCTGATGGCATTTAATTGCATATCTGAGGATACTAAGGATGCTGCATGTTAGAGAGATAACAGTATGCTTTTGAGCATGGACTCTGGCAGAATCCAAAGCCCCAGCATACCTCTCTTGAAAGCAGGCATTTAGTTTGAATACTCAGGACATCCTGCCAAAAGTTGTAACATTTGATGTCTAGGACTGGGAACCCTACAAGAAGCTTATGCCATGAAGAATTAAAATAGGCTGTGAACTGTAAACAAAATTAACAACTATTTACAGATCTTCTGAACTTTGTGCATGATATTAACTTTTTAAACACAGTACTTCAGACTCCTTATATATGACCTTAAAAAGACAACTTTGGCTGTAATGCAGCTTGTTTTCGATTGTAGTGCTGACAACAGGATATTGTCAGTTCATAGTGGAGTAATCACACATTTCTAAATCTGAAAAACTTTTGTTCAGAATTTCACCATAATTATGAAACATACAAACATGTACAAATTTAGTAGGCTCCATATTTCATATGCGTCTTTTGGTAAACAGAAGTACTTTCTAGCATTAAAAAACATGAAAAAAAACCCATACATTTTTAATGCTTAAAAAAACAGAGTAGCAACTTGATTTTCTCATGTGTAAGCACATGAGAAAATTTTCAAAAGCCTTAAAACTCAACAATAACATTGACTGCAGTACCTGTAAAAAAATTAATGAACATTAAAAAAAAAAAAAGGTAAAAAGACACATAAGTGTCTGAGTTTAACTAGAAATGTTCTGCCTTCATTTCTAAAATAAATTCTGTATGTCTGCTGTTGTCACTATCTCCATGATTTTCAGTTCGGCATAATATTTCATAATTCATTATTTCATCAAAAGCAGAATGAAGCAAATACAGCACAAAATGCCCTAAAATTAAGTGGCATCTTTCATAACAAACTTCCAAACTACAAAACTTCCATCTCAATTCCAATTACTAAACTACTAAGTAGCTGCCATATCTCCTTTCTGACATCACTTTGAGTAAGAAACAGAAAGAAAATTACACTTCCTACAAATCAATTCATTCCCTCTTAATATGAGCTCATTCTGGGAGAATAAGCTAAATCTGTGACTAGAAGGTTCATTCATATATGCTACATTTTTACCTTTGGCGGAAAGGATTTTGTTATAATGAAACACCATGTGGTCTCTGATCAGGTATTGATTAGTTAGACTTTGAGAGGAGTCGATGCAGAAAGCTGTAAGATTAAATATATTTGAACATTATAAAAACAGGCACAAGAGTACTAAAATCTTAAACACTTATTAACTGCAATTCAAAATCACAAAGTTAAATTACTATGTGCTTAAATTCTTTGCTCAATTGTAGTCAATTTTCTTTACCAGTTGCCGTCATATGAAATAATTCTGCCTGCTTCCCCTCCCCACCCCCAGTCAGACATTAACTCAATAAATAGCTACAGAAGTGGCTGAAATTGGACTATGAAAACATCAGCATGGAAATTTCCTGTTTCTCCATTCTACGCTCTTTTGAAAAAGGTGCCTAGGGTGGCAGTATGGAACAGAAATTAGTCCACGTAAACTACTCACTGTAAAAGAAAATGTTTAACCTCAAAGGTTCTTTAATGCAGCAACCATACACATACTCCAGCTAATACAGATGTGACATTGTTATATATTTGCTTATCTTGCTATCTGTAGCTAGCAATACAGTCAAGGCAAAAATTACTCCTCAAACGTATTTTCAGTAATGATTACTAAATGTAAGTACTATTTAACATTGCCAATTAAGCTCAATGCAAAAGTTTTAATTATAAAAACATTTTAAAAATAAAAGCAATGAATTCACATAAAGAAACCAACTTTCTGATGAACTCACAAGTTACTTACCATTGCTTTTAGTACTTAGTTGTCCTTTAAATGGACTTGCTGGACCACATCTAGGAATGGTAAGAGCTGGGTATTCATTTGCTTTAACAAAGTGTCAAACAAAAACCAAAAGTCAGAAGGAGAATGAATGTGTATTTTTACAGACAAAAAAAAAAGTAGAGTCTTTCTCCAAAGAACTCATGAACAGCTGTATTGGCTCTTTTTCATAACGGAAAAAGAGCTTATTTAAATGTGAAGATATTACTGAAATACAACAATGTAATTAAGTAATTTAATCTAACCACCAAGGTACAATAGTAGTGCTTTCACTGGTTCAGGGAGTTAAACATCATTTCAGTCTGATCTTTACATTGGTCGTTCAACTGCACAGAGACATGGCCACAGTTCCTTACCTACACTATCCTTCAATTTGTTTTAAAGTTCTATTGATCAAATTTTATCATTATATCACAGGATTAATATGAAAAAAATATTCTGTATGTAGACAATGAGTGTGATAAGAATTATACTAAAATGTAAGTTTAATAGATTGAAGGGGATTATGTTCATGGAAAAATTCATCCTATCAATGACAATATATGATTTAAAAAATCTGGTTTGCTATTTGATCTTGGGGCAGTTTGACAGACTGGGAACTCTACAGGCAACTGCAGATGCTGACAAAACAAGCTGCTATGAAAAATGACAGAACTTGAATTAAAAGCTTTGCAACTCCTTCTCAGAAACAATACTATACTGCCAACGCACGCTCACTGTCTGTTATGCAACCTGTGATTGAAAGATCTGAACCTGAACTAATTAAGTAGCTGCAACACATTTAGAACAAATCTGGACAGGAGATATACTATTACTACAAATACTAATGTATATAAAACATTCAAGGAACCCAACACACCCAAAACACAAAGCAAAACAAACAAGGTTTCTTTAACAAAGAAACACATACCACATTTACTTAACAACAAGTCTAAAACCACACAACCAATTTCTACAATTTGTTATTATTATCAAGGCCCACATGGCGTTCCCATTCCCACCCCACTTCTCATCTGTTAGTTCAAATGTCTGCAACTGCCAGCTGTTTCCTAGCACTTGGAGGCACTTACAGCTCTGGGGCAGGAACTTCACTGCTGTACACTTACTGGTTACCTGCAGCTTTCCACTCTTCACCAGATGAAGCAGCATACAGGACTACCCAATATGAGTGGGCATCTCTTCTATGTGGTCTTCAGTTGGGTTGACAAAGGTAGATAGAATTAGAAACTCACTGGGGGTTGCAGAAGCCATGATGAAAGCCATGCCACACTTTAAAAGCTCCTTAATCCCACCTGTCATGGCTTCTTACATCCTGCATGCCCAACATCTGGGTTTCCAGGAGCTTTTTTCCATTTCCAACTGTTTTATAAAGACTGCTGGAGTACTATTGCTCTATTTTAAGTGCAGCAGTGTGTCACACAAGATGGTTAACATGGTGTCTGACTATTGATTAGTAGATTGCAGCAAAACAAATCACTAACAATATTTTAATATAATTACCCCAAAGGGCCTTAGATATATAAAAAGACATACTGTACTAAATTTCGAGTAACTAGAAATAGTTTGGGAAGTGAAAAAAGCATTTAACAAAGTAAGTAAAATGAAAGTCATTAGCATATGTGGAAATTTGCAGAGTATTTTTTTGGGACCCTGCTGTGAAATGATGCTAAATCTGGATCAATAAACTCAATCCTTGTTCTTACAAAGCACAACAAATACCAGGGCAATTTTTAATTAGTATGTGGCCTTTATAAAGTATGGGCTTCCGTGGCTTTACAGTATTAGAAGCAGTGCCTGCAAAAAATAGTGCTCCCTCTACTCTTTGCTGTGAACTTGCCAGATCAGCAGTAGGAAAGGGGCAAGAAAACATTGAAAAACAAACAAAAAAAAAGGAAGAATATGCTATTGCATATTATTTCAAGCCTATCCTGCAACTGTTTTATCTTTATCCTGTTTTCTTTAAAGCCAAATGACAACATTCCTGCTCATCTGTATCAATTTCAAATGGCTCATTTTAGATTCTCCTTGTGATTCAATTCTTCCTAATCTCTATTTGTGATTTAAACAGATACATGAGCAAACAATCCTAAATTATTTAAAAAAAAATTAAATTTCCAAACATACAGCAAAAATTTATTAGATTTAGAATGACTGTCTCCATAACAACCTTTGCCGATAAAGGCTTTCTTTATTGTTTAGGTATTATCTTTCTCTACCATACACTATTACATACAAGTGGTATTCACTGTCTAGCTGGATATCCATCCTGAAATCCATGAGCTCCTGAAGTTACAATGTGTTTAAAAAATGCAAATCTCTGGGAGGACTTGAATGTTAGATTATAAAATTTCAGCTGATAAATATTTGTCCTAATGATAAAAAAACCAAACCTCACATACATGCCAGAAATCTAGATTATAGCAGACACCTGAGAATCAGAGGGGTTTCAGTCACATCTAAATATTCCAGTATTTTCTATATGTCAGAGTTAGGTTATAATTCCAGAAGGAGACACATATGACACTTAGCTAAATGCTTACAACGCCTCCTCTATCTCCTTTTTATGTGAAAGAAGCATAGAAAGGTAAGTGGGGGCATCTTAAAACAGTAGAGAGATTGTTATAACTACAGCTGATTCTCTTCAGGTAATCTAAATGACTTTGCCCTGAGTTAAAGGTGACCAGAGATGCTGAGAAACCTGTTGCTTCTACTGTCTCCAGCTGGAGATGTGTCTGTTCAGCACTATAGAAAAAAGAGATTTCAAAATGGTCACACGCTTTGCCTCACCAGCAGATGGCACACGGATAAACTCCGTCAAAAACTAGTCTACTGGTTTTGTCCATTACAATTAATCTTTATCAGGCTGCAGGTGGGGGGGAGTGATCCAGTGATGGAAGCTGTACTGATTTAAGACTCTGAACACAGTGAAGGCAGTGTGCATTTTGGTTACTTTGCCTTTTTTTTTTCTCAAAACCATGACTGCAAGTGAGATTTTTTTTTGGAGAAAAATTTTCTGCCAATTTTGATGGTTCTTAAGTAATAAATTATTTGGGAATAGAAGCACTTGTCTCAACTGGACTTAGCAGAACAGATCAAAGTACACACAGTGCTACAGCAGTTTTTGCAATAATCAGGTTTCCTAATTAAAATGCACAATTTCTGTGTCTTAGAATAAAACTTCCTGTCACAAATTGAAGGTTTATGTATATATATTACCAGAACCGGACTGGAAACTCTTCAAGATAATTTAGTTTCTTTAAAGAAACCATTCTTTGAGATTTAAGCCTCTGAAACTCAGATATATAATGGACTCCTATCTTTGATATACTAACCATGTAACTATGTGATGTAACCACAGATTTCCTCATAGATGTAAGTGGACTGTCTACAATGAATATAAAATCATGATTCTCACACTGTATGAGAGATCTAAGTACACAGGGCAAGCAAATTAAGTATTTCTAAAAATTAATTAGATCTTTTAGTTCCTTATTAATTAATTAATTAATTAATTTCTATTTGCTTGTTGTAAGTTTCCCCTGCAAGTGTGTGACATTCCACAACCAGACCCATTCTCTATAATTCTTTCCATCTGGTATCTAACGTAAGTAATAATTATATTATTCCAAAGAGATTTTTAAAGTCTTTTGTTTAAATTATTTTTTTAATTTTCATTTAAAATGCATCCTATCTTTATTTCTTATTTTACAGCCTTAAAAATGAGGAAATTGGTGGTTTCTATTGTTACTTTGTTTCCTGGTTGTTAGTGGCTATGCAAGATTTGTTATTTTTCTACAAAGCCATTTCAGATTTTAAACATAAATATGTACTTGAAAGAAGCCCAGTCTTTCGTTAAAACCTTCTCATAGGAAGGATTTTAAACACGAGTATTAGACTTACTATTTCTGTAACAAACCTGTACTTCAGACATGGCAAATAAAAAATACTGAAAATAAAACAATCAGCCTATCCTTACCCACAAAAACTTGTTACTTAAAAGATAATCCACAAAAAACCACAGAGACCTTAATTAGGTTATTAGATACAGGCATGTAAACCCAGCACTGCAAGCCACAAACATCCACTTAACTGTGTAGAGAAGTATGAACACTGTATTTTCCAAAGAGCAAATCCTAAACCTTAGCTTGGGTTCAAACAGCTCTCAGCTCTAGGTGGATCCAGAGCTCAGGTTCTCCCCATCTGTTCCAGAGGAATATGTTCATCACTGCACCAAGGCATCAACCCTTTTGTGCAAAGGTTTTTTGGTGGCTCCAGGACTCTTGCATTCCTGGTTGCACAGTGATCTCCTCTCGGATGGAAATACAGAAAGCTCCTCCGTCTCTAATGGCCAAGAACTGCATCATTTGCATGAGATGTGGGGATTTGATCTTCCTAAGGTTGATAAGGACACTCAACCCACAAGTTCACTCTTCTAACTCTGAACACACTAATAATACCCTACAACATTGATGCTGTACACATGCTGAGGAACAAACTGAAGTGGTTTAAATAATCTCTGTGAAATCCTAAATGACTTAGTAGTGATGAAACTTCCTTCAAACATCTGATTTAACATATCTAAAAAGGTCATAATTAAAAGAATGAAATTAGGACCTGAAATATAACTTCCTCTCTCTTTGGTACTACGGTAAGTTTTAAATCAAAGTAACCATTAATTCTTTATGCTACAGAAAATGGTTGTGCATATGAATTCAACACAAATAGACACAGTAAATGCTGCTATCTCAAAGTACATTAAGAGATTAACCTGGTCACAAAAATCCATACCAGATTTAAGGTTAATTTGTTTAAATAAGAAACTAATTTTTCTATTTTCAACTATTTTTCTATTAACAGGATTATATACTTAAAGGGAAAAAATGCGAGAGGACGCTTCATTAGTGGTACTACTACTAAGGCCTTGTCATGGTTTAAATCTTGTCGGCAAGTCAGCCACGCAGTCCATGCTCACTCCCCCACCTTTCTTCCCCCCACTCCCGGAGGGATGGCGAGGAGGATCAAAAGAATGTAACTCCCACAGGTTGAGATAAAAAACAGTTTAGTAACTAACGCATAACACAAACCACTGCTGCTACCACCAATAATAATAATGATAAAAGGAAATAACATGGGAAGAGAATACAGTACCACCCGCCAACTGATACCCAGCCCGACCCAGCAGTGAACTAGCACTTCCAGGTAACTGCCCCCAGTTCTACATCCTGGGCATGATGTGCTGTGGTATGGAATACTTCTTTGGTCAGTTTGGGTCAGGTGTTCTGTCTCTGCCTCCTCCCGGCTTCCCCTCCTCCATGGCAGAGCATGAGACTCACAAAGTCCTTGGTCTGACTAAACATTACTTAGCAACAACTTAAGAACATCAGTGTTATCAGTGCTATTCCCAGGCCAAAAGTCAAAAACACAGCGCTGAACCAGCTACTAAGAAGGAGAAAAAATGACTGCTACTGCTGAACCCAGGACAGTATCAACCCCTTATTCCATATCATTCACGTCATGCTCAGATCTCACATTTTCAATATACCGTCACTCTTATATATATACATATATATATGTGTGTGTATATATATATATATACACACATTCACACAGCACGCGCGTGAGAGAGAGATCATTCCTTAGTGCATGGATCAATCCCTATAAAGCTGCTGAGTCCATCCGGTCCATGATGTCAGGCTCCATCTCTTGTAACAGTCTTTCAGAGCAGGAGAGGCTGTGTGCAGTGTTCACACTTGTGAATAACCTGGGCAATAGTATCCATTGTTAAGTCTACCCCTCGATCATGAGTTCATCTCTATGTTGCATCTCTGCCCTGGTGGCCTGAAGTGTCATGGGCCCACCAGGCTCAAAATAATTCACCCTCCCCTTCAGCAGTTTCTGCAACTTGTTGTTGGGGACTCCATACATCTGCCTTCCATCTCTGATGCTTCCAAAGCACTGGAGGGGCCCAGTGGGCTAGATACTCGCCCATACTATTCCCCACACCCTGCCACCCATGACTGTTCAGCCTCAGGGAAAATCTCTTGGTCCTCCTATATTGTCATCTAACCCTAGATAAGACCCAAACCCGACTATGCATAACTTTCAAGATCAGACAAAATGGTCGTGGGTAAAACACAGTCTGTATGTGTGCCAACATGCTGATCCCCATCACAATCAGCAGGCAGGTCCCAAGGGTACCCAAAGGCCATTCAAAACCTTCAGAACTTTCAAATGATGCTTCTGTACTTGTCACTGGGGCTGGTGTGGCTGCTGTGCTTGCTGGCTCTCTCACTACCAGATTCTCTTGTTCTGAGTCCAGATCTTCCTCCTCTCCCTTGCTGGAAAGTGCTGCGTGGTCTCCTGCATCCTCCACTAGTCCCACGTGCCCGAGGCCGGACTCAATTGAGGCTGCCAAAGGTGGTATCTTGCTCTCCGCATCCTCCTGGGGCTCAGGCTCCTGGGGCTTGGCAGGCAGCTGCTGGGGGATGCTCTTGGGGCTGGGCTTGGCCGCAGGGCTCGGCTCCTCCGCTGCCTCCTCCCACTGCTCAGCAGCTGCATACTTCCCCTCCTCAACTGCCCCGACCTCCTTCACTGGCAGCCGCTCCTTCCCGGCCCCCAGCCCTGCTCCCACCGCCGCTTGGTCCCCGGGACAGCTCTCCCGGGCCACTTCGGCAGCAGCTGCCTCCTGGGGCCACTCGACCTGGGCTCCCCGCAGCCTCACGAAGATGGAGGCAAGGAAGAGGGCTGCAGGAGCTCATCCGTATTACAAGTCATTACCATAAAGTACAGTGAAACAAGAACCTTAGCCCAAGCCCGCCATCTGATAAACACTAACACAGCAAACACTGGCTGTAAGTAAGGTACAACATGCTGAAACTGTGAGATCAAGAACAACTCTGAGAGCAAATAAATCAGCATTGTGATGAGTGACAATGAATGCTTATCACAAATACGACTAGACACACTCCGGTCAGATCTGTCATTATTTCAACCCTTTGAGCCCCACGTTGGGCACCAAAAAAGAACTGTCATGGTTTAAACCTTGTCGGCAAGTCAGCCATGCAGTCACTCGCTCACTCCCCCACCTTTCATGCCCCCGGTCCTGGAGGGATGGCAAGGAGAATCAAAAGAATGTAACTCCCACAGGTTGAGATAAGAACAGTTTAGTAACTAAAGTGTAACACAGATCACTACTGCTACCACCACTAATAATAATGATAAAGGTAATAACATGGGAAGAGAATACAGTACCACCCGCCGACTGATACCCAGCCCGACCCAGCACTGAACTAGCCCTTCTGGGTAACTGCCCCCAGTTCTACATCCTGGGCATGACATGCTGTGGTATGGAATACCTCTTTGGCTAGTTTGGGTCACGTGTTCTGTCTCTGCTTCCTCCCGGCTTCCCCTCCTCCATGGCAGAGCATGAGACTCACAAAGTCCTTGGTCTGACTAAACATTACTTAGCAACAACTTAAGAACATCAGTGTTATCAGTGCTATTCCCAGGCCAAAAGTCAAAAACACAGCGCTGAACCAGCTACTAAGGAGAAAAAATGACTGCTGCTGCTGAACCCAGGACAGGCTTGCCTTCCCATCAGTGTGGTTTACATCTTCCTACCATACCCCCTAAACTCCTTTCTATTTCCCCAGTTTGCTGCCTTTTCCTTACCTGCAGTCATCCTCAACATCCCCTACTTGCTCAGCAGTGGCTGAAGAGGTGCTATAGGTGTTATAATGGGTCATCTAATTTAAGCTGCTCTGGTTGCTTATCCTTGGTTGACTAGTTCTTATCCTCTAGTTGTGTATCTGGGAATGAACACAGAACAGAATGACTCTCTCTCAAAAAATGCTTATAAATTCCTTGAATTATGTCCTACCCAGCCACTGACATTTGTACCACTAAGTCCTACCTCTTAGTCACAAATAGGTGAAGTTGGCTAATAGATACCGACTTTCCAATAATGGAAAGAGGAGAAAGCCAACAGAGAACAGTGACTCACCCACAGACTCCTTCTTTAGGAAAGCATGTTGAAACGTGGCACATTTCCACTGCTTCTCTGCATCACAATCACAAGAGACCTTCAAATATGGCTTTAGATCGAGCTGATTACTGAATGCTGATAATATTCCATTTTATTTGAGTTACAGTGGGGCAAAACCGAGCACTTTGTAGTCACACCTGTATTTTTTTTCAGTTCATGCAAGCAAAACAGAAGCCACTTGGACTCATACTGATTTCCAGTGATACCACAACTCCTATCAATTCTGAGAGTATAAAGTCTTAGATGTGAAGCCAGTTTTAACAGAATCACATATAAGATTTGTTAAGAAATGGCTGGATCCACCAGAGGAAAAATACAGCCATTATCTTCTAAATTTTCTGAAGCAAAACCTGATGAACAAAGCCCCAAGAAACTATGATACCCTAATTTTGAAATAACATCCCTAATATCCCATCTGAATTTTGCATGGGATCATTTGTGTCAGAGGCAAAATATGATGAAAATGATACAATATATCATTCCTTGACATATGCACCATCCATAATCTTTTAAGCCATTAATTAGAGGTGCACTATTTATACACTTACTATGCTGGATTACACCAAATCTCTTCTTTACACCCATCCCTAATGCCTAAGAGTCAGGTCTCTCACTGCTTTAAACTAACATTCTAATAGTATTCAGCATAAATTAAAACCATGCAACCGATATTACAGTTCAAGAGTCAAAGCCTCCTCTGATAAATTTAAGGACTCTAATGAAATAGTAGTGTACAGTAGCTTTAAAAATATTTGTTACAATTTTCCTAGCTACAGGTTTCACATGACCAGTTAGGGAAGTTTCGGATGCAGGTTATTGGTCTATTCATACTTCAAAAGCAGAAAGCAGCAGCTGTATGTATCAGCAGCACATCCTGTGATTCAAATTGCAGGCAGAAGCAAATGAACTTTAGTAAGACCCATCATCATTTGCTAGGGCAGCACCTCTAGATTTAGCAGTGGCACCAGCAGTTTCCTGTTTTCTAGAAGGGTGTGTAAGTGATAGCGTTCCAGAAGTGACAATATGTTACTTTTAAATCATATGTGTACAACTATCAATGTTCATATCACAGTTTAGAAATGTCTTTCCTAAAAGGTTACTAACCTGAGTTCATTGAATAGTTGTGCCTGTGCAAGATGGCAAAAGGTAATCCAGGAGCATACTCTACCATGTGCTGTAATAATTCCTGTGGGAATGGTGCTATTAGTCAAGGGCACTAGCACATTAGCTCACAAGCATGTCCTACATGACAAATATGTTTTGACTTCTACTGCTACATGAAACTTAACAGTATGCCATCCCATGAACATCCATATTGAACGTGTTTCAATACCTAATGTCAAACCAATCAACAGACAAAATATATGTACATGTCTAAATGGCACACTGTATTTAGATTCTTCTATATGTATTGGGAAAAAAAAACCCTCCTTTGTATAATCTGTGCCTACAAGGAAGCTCCACAAACACCCCATTTGCATTATTAACTTCCACCCTCTCATATCTCTACCTGAAAATACATTAGCAAAACTCTAATGCACAGATGGCCTTGCCCAGAGTGGAGAGCAGAGAAACTGCAATCCACTGTGCTTCAGGGAAAGTTGCAAGGTATAATCTGGAGCAAAATAGCTAGCAGGGTTAATGATCTGAATCCTGTTTCCTTTAGCACATATTTCACTTGAAGCATGCAAGATATCTTCAATGAAATGGGACTTAAGTCAGATTACAAATTTAAATTATTTGCTAAATGGAAATAGGATTAGTTAAGTGACTAAAACTCACTTAATAGACTAATGGTCAAATTAAAGATAGGCTTAAGGATTTGCTGAACCAAGGTTTTAATTTGGTAAGAAGTTAAGGTTGGTGATTAACATTTCCCAATATAAATTAAAATGTACTATTATGTTTCAAATACAACTTCAAAATGTCCATCCTTCTTCGAGGAAACAAACATTCTTTTTCAACTTCTTTGCTGATCAAAGGCAACTTCAGCTTCTAAAAAATCAAATTAGTATTACCAAATCAGTGCTTGAGTTTAAAAACTGCCTGTCCAAGTGGCAAATGGAGGAATACAAAGGAAAAAAAAAACACAACCAAAACCAAAACAACTCAGAAGTCACAGACGTGTTTTAATACCCTTCCAGCTACAGTCAGATTACTGCACAGATTTCCTGCAATGCTGGAAGAGTCTAAATAAGATGGTGCTGTCTTTAAATACGGGGATATTGAAATTTTGGGTTAGAGTCTCTGAAGCCAGTGCAAACTGCCTAAACTTAAGAGCAGCCTCTTATGCACCAATAATGGCGACTTCCCCATCATTCTAAGATAAAAGCAACACAAATGTGTGTCATCGATTGTCAGTAAGTATATGATTTCATTGCTGTTCAGGTATGTGGCAATCACTGGCTGTGGGAATTAAATAGCCCAATGCAGAAGACTGGACTGAAAGAACAAAATGGCTTAGAATGTCATTATTCAGATTATTTGAGGTCACTCTATAGGTCTGTGACTATATGAACCAATTCCTGATACTGCTGCAGTAAATAACTTGAAGGTTCATACCTGGAATTAGGGAAAAACATAAAGGTCTAATTCTTTAATATTTTTATTGAGGAAAAAAGTCTCAGCCTTATTTGCACTTCAAGAAGACCTAGATGGAAATCCTATACTGTCAACATTATTCCTAAACTAAAACCAAAACACAGCACTGCACCAGCTACTACTAAAATAAAATAACTGTTACACCTGAAACCAGTACAGCTATGTATGTATTTATATAGGTGCAATATATATGTATATATGCAAAAAATAATTTTTGTTACATATTCTTTAGACTAGACAAAAGAGAAACCCTGATACAAAACAAGTATAAAATCTTGCTTCTTTCTTTACAATGATGAGGCCAGGTCTGAACAAGAAACTTTGAAGAGTATACCAGTACATCAAATCCCATTTCTTCTGTATTAACATTCTGGATATGCAGTGCGTAGATACAACTGTCCTATAGAGAAAACACAAACATTATGTGTTTTGCCTCTTTCATAAACTGTCTGCGAGCAATCCAATGGCTGTTCTACCAAGTTTGCTCAGGTACCCAGTTTTCTAGGTTAGCTCATTGTAAGGAATTAGTATCTCTGCCTGGGCAAATCCCTGTTGCCTGTAAGGGTTGTTCCTGCATGTCTGTGAAACTAGATACTGGGCTGTCCATTCACCTACTTCTGACTCTGATAATCTCCCATGCAGACAAGCAACTGCTTCCCAAGTAGAGACACACACATTTATTCTTTCCTACTTTTGAATTATTTTTTTTACTTTTTTGTTAACGGGAGTCATTCACGCAAAGCTTGCTGCAACCTGGATGAAATTTAAATCTTGCATCCTACATACTCTCATTTTATGGTCAACAGACAGTCAGCATGTTTTCCGACTGTCTATAGAATCAAAGGAAGAATAGTCAGAAAAAGGATAAATTTGTAATAAAATTGCCTTCACACTTTACAGGACATAAAAACTGGATGCATGAGATACAGATTTTTGCTCTGAATTTCATATTTCTGTGTAGTATTAGAAATCATGTTCAAACTCTGCTTTGATATCAGGTATCTACGGTAGTGACATCCATCATTATCAACAAAGACTGGCACTGACACCAAGATGCAACATGAAAGTGTAACGTTATCTCAAAGTATCTGACCTTAGGCAGCTACCTATGATTTTGACAGTACAGTGCAGCCCTGAGTAATTCCTACCATTGGTTTACATACTGCATGTAATCCCGTTCAGATCTAAAAATATGAGGCATTTTCCAAGCACCAGAGTTGGCTCATGCAACCATTTTTGTGTGCTTATGCCTGTTTTTATCATGAATGACAAATGCCCCTAAGATTATTCATAGGAACAGAGAACAACAGTAGCCCACAGATGGTTAAATCTGGGTAAAGTATCACTTTATGAGAGCTTCAAAGCTTTTGAGTCTTTAAATACACTTGCCTTAAAATCCCACCAAACCAGAACACTTGGATCTACATCTAAATGCCATGTAATTGATCCTCTACAGTGTAAAATCCATTATAATTCCGAATAGCATCTTTGGAGAATAAATAAATAGACTCCAAGAAGCACAGGCGGCCTCAAAAGGAAGCGCTGACAGCGGCAGCCTGGAACATTCACCGTAGCAGCGATAACGTTTTATTTGTTCAGATACATATGCACACTTGTGATGATGGCTGTAACCTGGACAGTTAAAGGCCGTATTTCTCGGAGGATTATAACCTTTCAGGGGGGTTTATGTGTGACCTTTCACAACTCCAGCTGCCAAACCTCGCCCACTGAGTGCAAGCGCTTGCACTCGGCCGTTCCCATCACCGCAGCCTCGCTGCCTCGCAGCCCTAGCACAGCGCCCCACGCGTGACAAACAGGGCAGCACAGCTGAGGGCAGCCGAGTGCAAACGGAGCGAGCTCCGAACCTCCCCAGCGCCGGCTGCAAGAACCCCGGCGCCTCGACTGGTTCCCTCAGCCCGAGGGCGGCGCTGTGCCCGCCCCCCGCGCAGAGGCTGAGCCGCCGCCATGCCCGCCGCCGCACGCCTGCCCTCCACCCCGGGCGGGAGACGGGCGCGCCCAGCCGCCCTGCGCCCGGTAACTACGGGGGAGGCAAGGTGGCATCCGCGCCCTGCCGGCTCCCGCTCTCCCCACCCAACCACCGAGCCACCACCGAGCCCCCCGCACCTTGGCTCCGCCCGCTACCGCTCTCCATCCTCAGCCCCATGCTCCCGACCGGGCCCGAAAGCGCTGCGCAGGCCGGCGCTCGCGCCGCCGGCAAGAAGCCTCTCGGCCCCCGCCGCGGGCGGGCGGGGCGGGGCGGGGCGGGGCGAGGCGAGGCGCTGCGCCTGGCCAGCCGCGGCCTAGCTCGGCCGCCTTCGGCGTTGCCATGGCCACGGCGGCGGGTGGTGGCGGGTGGGGAGGCGTGCGCCCCGCGCCCCTGCCGTGGGGGGTGCCGGCCCTTGCAGCCTCAGCCCCTCGTTTGGCAACGTGGAGAAGGTGCGGGGAGCTGCGGGTACACCCTCACCCCTTGCGCTGGGCCCCAACACGTCTCTTCAAGCGGTGCAGCCAAGCAAACGTTTTGCCCTGCCAGTGAAAGGTGCCCTAATTATTTAAGCCGTTTTCTTCTAACTTGTCAGGGAGCCAAAGTATAATGGATGCCAAGGAGTGATTTAAGGCAAATTGCTCATGTTTCAGAGGAGTGAATGACAAACCGAGAGAGAGCCTAGAGCATTCCCAGTGCCTTACACTGAAAAAATTAATTCTCTGTACCTTTCAAAATAAACAATGCCTTAGAAATGAACCACAAAACCATAAACTTTTGAGAAGCAGCATTTGATCCCCATCACTGATGAATGCTGATGTGTTTAACTTTTTGAAGTAGCAATAGGCTCATATTTAAGTTTTGTCAAGCATGTTACACATCCCTTTTTTGTGTACCTTTTATGTGAAACTTTATCTCACTGCTTGGCCAGAGGTACAGCTTTCACCACCATAGCCAGACACCTCAAAAAAGGACACGTATCGTCCCAACTGGAGGGATATTCCCCTCACCAGCTAGCAATTATTATTAATCATAGGCTGAATGAGGTTTTTCAAGTTATTTGCTACTCTTCCTTATGTGCTAGGAAAATAGTCTGAATGCAGTTCATCATCATAGCAAACTCAAGGGAGTTGTATTTTAAAACAGTTTTTCTTCCATATTCCTGACTCATGCGGAGCTCCCAGAAAGTCACACAAACATTCATGCTGGATGAAACCTGTGGTTTAGCTACCCCAGGACTTTGTGTAGACTCTACCAAATACTTCAGAAAACTTTTCCGTAGCTGTTTCATGTCTAGCTAACCCCTAACCCTTGATGGTCAGCTTCTGCTTTCCCTTGCTATTGTAGGTATACCCACTAGGTATACAAAGTTCAGTTTGGTTACGGCCTTAGTTCTTGTGCTTCACATATTAGTGATCATTTTGGCAGTCTTAATTATTTTTTTCTGTAAAATCATCTTTACATGTACTTAAATTTGTCTGGGAGAGATAAGGAGAAGGAGCATATGTCTTGGAAACCCATCGGTACTCCGTCCTCTGGTGGTTGTCTGTCTTTCTGGCTGCTTTTTTTATCACATGTACATTCCCATGGCATTTCAACTACCATCAATTATGTTACCACAAACACTTTTTTTGCCAAAACAAAGTAATCTGATAACATTTTGTCATTTTCTCTTACATCTCTTGGTACGAGGGAAATGTCACAGAGCATACCTGTTCTCCTCACTCCTCTGCACAAAACCAACAAATCCAGAAAGCATTAAAATTGTAGAATGTAGAGGTAGAGGCAGTCTTAAAAAGTTTCCATTTCAGATACCTGAAGATACTAGAGAGAATATAACTGCATGAGATTCTCATCTCTAGTGGTATCCTTACTCTATTGGCAACTAAGATAATTAAGGGAGTGGAGCATCTCCCTTATGAGGAAAGACTGAGGGAGCTGCATCTCTATAGTTTGGAGAAGAGGAGACTGAGGGGTGACCTTATTAGTGTATATAAATATATAAAGGGGGAGTGTCACGAGGATGGAGCCAGGCTCTTCTCAGTGGCAAACAATGATAGGACAAGGGGCAATGGGTGCAAACTGGAACACAAGAGGTTCCACTTAAACTTGAGAAGAAACTTCTTCTCAGTGAGGGTGACAGAACACTGGAACAGGCTGCCCAGGGAGGTTGTGGAGTTTCCTTCTCTGGAGACATTCAAAACCCGCCTGGACATGCTCCTGTGTAACCTTATCTAGGTGTTCCTGCTCCGGCAGGGGGACTGGACTAGATGATCTTTTGAGGTCCCTTCCAATCTCTAGCATACTGTGATACTGTGATACTGTGACTGCAGCGACCATGCTACAGACATCATCACTACTGTTTGGTTTTTTTATTATTTTTTAATGAGCTGCTCATAGTAAGATTTTTATACTTTTTCGATACTACTTCTGTTTGGTTGCCTAAATTCTGAATTTCAGGTTCCCAAATTCTCAGTGTGCTGTACCCAACATGCAATAAGTAGGCTGTTCTGTCATACCCAAGTGGTGGATTTCTCATACTCTCCTCCCTATTGTTCCTATACTTTTTTCCACCATGTAGATAATTAAAACACCCAAATGTAAGTGACCATTTTTAGAAACATATCACAGCTATTCCCCTGGTTTCTAGGCAACGCTGAGGGAATGTTGTGATTTCCACTAGTTCCATCTCAATCAACAGCCACAGAATCCTGGAGATGTCCTGGCTCTGAATTTTTTTTACCTCCAGTGGCAGCACAGAACAAAACTTTATTTCTAATTGGCCTGACTTATGGTTCTTTGGCCTTAGGCTCCCTTTGGTCTGTGAGAGTGCACATATTGAAAGTGTAACTAAAAAGTAACCCATATGTACAGCAATATGCTAACACATTAAGTCTTGTAATATGTACTAAATAAAAATAAGCCTTAGCAAAAATTGAATTCAGTCTTGCACTTTGATCCATCAAAAAATGTACAGAAATAACAGATTGCTGCAGAGAGCCTGCCATTTTTGGAGAAGCAATAAATGATAAAACATGCAAGATTTGCCTTTTCCCAATTTGAAAAGGGGAAACACAGCACTGAATCTTGTTGGCTGCCTTTTTCAGCAGGGCATTTTCATTTTTGCTTGGAATGCATTACACAGAACAAGGTTTTAAAACGTACTTACACTGGGAGAGAATGAAGCAGCAGGAATGTGTTAGAACCATAGGGTTGGAAGGAAGCTTATCTAGTTCCACCTCCGTGCCATGGGCAGGGACACCTTCCGCTAAAACAGGTTGCTCAAAGCCCCATCCAGCTGGCCTTGAACACTTACAGGGATGGGGCAGCCACAATGTCTCTGGAAAACCTGGTCAGTGTCTCACCACAGTCACACCGCAAAACTTGTATCTAATCTAAATCTGCCCTCTTTACAGTTTAAAGCAATTCCCCCTTGTCCTATCACTACATGCCCTTGTAAATAGTTCCCCATCAGCTTTCTTATAGCTCCCTTTAGGTACTATAGGGTGTCCCTGGAGTCTTTCCTCCAAGCTGAACAAGCCCAGCTCTCAGACTGTTTTCATAGGAGAGGTGCTCCAGCCCTCCAGCAGCAGCAGATAATAGTCTGTGGACTGTCCGAGGCTTGGTAGTCTTGAGCCCCCAGTAAGCAGCACACCTCTTTAGAGAGCACATCAGGTCAGTAAGTGGGTACCTCTGTACCTCTCAGAAGAAAGTCGCCTACTACTATCACTCGTTGCTTTTTCTTAGTGTACTGGTTGTTGCAGGGAGCAGGTCAGGCTGCTCTACTAGGCTCCAGCATCTTTTGATGCAATGAGTCTTTCTTCCTAGTCTGCAGATCCATGGAGCAGTTCTGCAAGGGCACCACAGGCTTCAGGGAAGTCTCCTCCTCCTGCAGGTCATTCCCGTTGCAGGTTTCTGTTCTGCATTATTGGCTGCCCTTCCCTTCTGTGTGTGCTGGTGGGGGAGATTCTGGCTGGTGGGCTGTGGGTCTGCTGGAGGCTGTGCTTGTAACCAGCTATCTCACTCCTTCTCAGCCTTCCTGATGTTACACAGCTTCCTCACCGCCTCCTGCAGCTGGGCCACCTCTTTCAGGTCCTCCACCTGGGCACAGCTTTTGCAGGCAGCTCTGCTGCCTGTCCTGCCCCAGAAAAAAGGCCTAGGCACCCTCTGCAGCCCGAGGTCTTCACTGCAGCCTCTCCCTTCAGCAGCTCCTGCTGGATGGAGGCGCTGGCCTCCTACCACTCCTACTGCTGGGATAGATGGTGCAGCACCCAGCCCCAGCTGCAGTCTTTGCTCTCAGAGGAGTACTCGCTATTTTGCCTGGTGGATCAGGTAGGATGAGTGCCCTTGACCTGTGCCCAGTTGCTGAGTTATGTGGACTTCAAATTTCCCCACTTGGTCAGTGAAATGTCCCTCCTTCCAATATATTGTGAGAGACATACTTGCAAGTGTACATGGGCATCTGTCCCTACCCTGACACAGGCATACAGAACTATCACCTTCTTGTATACTTCAAAACAGCATTTATAAGCCAAGCTTGGTGTTTGGTTTTGTGGAGGAAATAAAGGAAACAAAGTCTTTAGATAAAAATGTTTCTTTATGTATTTATTTATTTATAGTCAACTTTCTTTTGTATGTTTAGCCCAGTGACGGTGAGTTTCCTCTGAAAAAGACTGCATGTCTGGCAGGACCTCAGTTACCTGCTTAATTGGGACAGAGACCTTTTAATGTAAAAACTCTATTTTTTTTTGGATTTGGCTTTCTTGGAGGAAATAGTTTGCATGTACATTGGAAAATTAAAATCTGCACTTTTTTTGAAGAATCTTTGCTTATTTCAAGCCATTGATTTTCTTGCATGCTGTGTATGCAAATAAGCTGTGTATGAAAGTAAGCCTATGAATGCAGGCAGAAAACAGCCCAAAACCAGATCTGCACACCATATTCACAGATGATTCTAGAAAAACCCTAAATTCATCCCACTGTATACTTTATGGTTGAAATAAATCTTCTGTGTTTACTTGAGGTTTTTATTTGGTATCAGTGCTCTTTCTCAATGTGGATTTGTTACCTGCCTGTGGCTTGGGGTGTCAGCATTGCAAGCACCTTGCTGCCACTCACAGCAGGCTGACACTGACTTGCAGCAATCCCTAGCTGCTTCATTTAGACCATTAAGTTTGCAATCCATTTCTCTATGACTGTCTGGAAAGAAAAACATTTCTCTGAAAGATTGGAGGAGGCAGTGTTTTCAAAATACACTTAAAACAGGTGTCT